TTTTCATTTTTTGATCAGCCATCTTGATCATTTCATCTGTTTAGCAGCCAAAGGAAAAAGTATCAACATGTTCTTACTGTCTACCAGTTTATCACTTTCACATCAAGCTACCTCAGCACTCATTCTCCTTCCGAGTTGTATAACATTTTCCTATTCCAATCTATTCCATCTAATCCTAGATCTATGCTCTCTGAAGGCCTGCATGTATCAGAACAGCACACACTACATGCTCTGTCATTGAGTTATGTGGTTCCTTTAATCTGTTGAGGGGGTCCTGTCAGCTTGATCCTTATGAGCTGTTGCAGTTCCCAAATCTAAAAGTGTTATGCAAAATTTTTTTTTGTAAATGTTATACTTTCAATACAATTATTCCTTGTGTCATATTAATTAGGATTTGATTGACTGAAAATGTATATCTAATGTTAGAGAAACTATACACGGGGTGTTGGAGTGTTTATGTCTCACTATTGTTTTTCAATTTGTTCTAGTAGGCTAGTATGATCGAACAGCATGCATCAGTATGAATTTGAAGAATAGAATAGAATTTATAAATAGTAGGAAAGAATGTGTAGTCATCAAGGTAAAAATGGAAGATTGCATTGGCTTTGGAAATTCTGGCTACTACTGAAACAAACTACTGTTTTTTCATGTAAGTGCAAAAAGCCACATTTTTACCTTGTTGTCTTCATTTTCTATTGTTTGGAAAGGAAATATATTATATTTACAGTTTAGTTTTAAACCTTTCTCTTTCACAGAGACTCATATAATTTGTTTGACTTTTAGCTCCTTCTGAAGTAATTTTTTCATATGATGTCGGGAATGGTCCTTTTGAAGTGAATGTGAAGACACCTACTCAACTGAATGATGACCAGTGGCATTATGTTAAAGCTGAGCGGAATGTGAAAGAGGCTTCACTTCAAGTAGATGAGTTTCCAAGTAAGACCCAAAAAGCTCCTGCTGATGGACATATTCATCTGCAGCTCAACAGCCAATTATTTGTAGGTAGGAGATCATTTTCCTTTCAATGTTATGCATGCAATACCCAATCCTATAAGTGTAACTTAGTCTGTTTTTATGTAAATTATACTGCTAGGATATTATCTGTCTACCTTGACTACCTTGAATACTGAGGTGAAATAGGATTTTCCTCTATCATATATATTATATTTCAGAATGCTATATAGCATTCTATATAACAGGATATTGATAACTGCTTTAAGCTTTTTGAGAATGTCTGAGAACAAATAGGAAAAAAAGTGTTTTATTGTATTTAAGATAGTGTGTCTCTGTTCTTATCGACTCAGATGAAAAAAACAAGATTTGGAGTTTTGCGTTGTAATTAAATCAACTTTTCTTTCTCCCCTTTTGGTGGCATGATTAAAAATCCACTTAGAACAATAAACATATTGTAGCATTTTCAGGTTCCCTCAGGACAAAGGACAAGTGCAGATGTGATAGTAAACCAAGTGACTGCTTTATTCTCCTATCGAAACCACACAAAAACCAAACACAGGATATACACACACATGAGGAGACCGACGGAACACTTACACATGGAAAGGGTGGTAACTGGTTAACTACAGGCTATACACTTATAAAGCTATACAGGACACTGAAACTACTATAACACTATTTACATATGTAGGGTCAGCTGCTGGTCATCGTGCTGACCCTCAAACTCCCCCCGGTTACAACTCCCAGCCTGCTTCGCGGTATCATGAGTGCCTAGGTGTGCTTCCTCCTTACCACCTGAAGTGTCGAACACCCCCCTCAAGCTGTAATCATACTCGGCTAAAGGCTGTGGAACTCTGCGTGAGCGGTCACTGCGCTGCGGTGGCAGCTGGCGTCCCGCGGACACTCCATTGTCAGCCGGCTCTGGCCCCAGCTGCTCTTCCTCCCGGACCTGGTAGGTTGCCAGGCGGTCTCAGTGCAGGACCACCACTCTCCCCCATGTTCACAAACGGACCCGGTAGCAGACCTTGCCAACCACCCCGAAGACCTCAGCAGGCCCCTCCCATGACGGTGCTAACTTGGGTCTGAAGCCTTTGCGGCAGCGTGGGCTGTACACCCAAACCAAGTCCCCGGGCTGGAAGGCCCCCTGCAGCGCAGGTCATAGTGGTGCTTCTGCCGGACTCCCGCCTGAGTCAGGTAGGTCCGGGCAAAGCTGTGCACCCGCCACATTTGCTGCCGCAGGTCCCACTCGTAGTCCGGTCCAGCTGGCAGTGCTGACTCCTCTCCGGGCGACGGGCCGAAGACCAGGCCCAGCATGAACGAGGCAGGGGTGCACCCAGTAGATTCCTGGACCGCGGTCCGATACGCCCAGAGCGCAAAGAGAAGGTGGCGGTCCCAGTCCCACTGGTGCCGGAACACCAAGGTCCGATTGAACCGGTCCACCAACCCGTCGCTCTGGGGATGCAGCGGGGTGGTCCGCGTCTTAGAGATCCCCAGGCGTTGGCACTCTGGTGAAGACCTGGGACTCAAAGATACACCCCTGGTCACTGTGTAATTCTTCCGGCACTCCTAGCCTGGCAAAAATCCCCTCCAGTAGTGCATCAGCCATGGTGGGGGCACTCTGGTCTGGGAGGCCATAGGCCTCCGGCCACTTTGTAAAATAGTCCATTGCCACCAGGACATAGCCGTTCCCAGCCTTGGTGCACGGAAACAGGCCCAAAACGTCCACCCCACCCACTCCATAGGAGCCCCCACCCTTCTGCGCCATGCACACGTTTGGCAATATCGCTCCACGTCCTGGTGGCAAAGACCCCAATAAAAATGGCGTCGGAGACCCTGCGGGGTTTTTTTCCAGCCGAAATGCCCCACGCCCGGTTGGCCATGCACCGCTCGGAGCACAGCCCCGCGGAGCGACTGTGGCACCACCAGCTGCCACCGTATCTTGCCACAGGAGGGTGCCCCCACCCCCAGCACAGCACCCTGTCCTTTACTTCTGTAGTGTGCTCTCACGAGGCACCAGTTCTGTAGGGTTTGGGCATTTACGGGGACAATTATTAATTGTCGCTGTAAATCACAAAATGATTATTTTAATGGCTTTAGAATCCAACTTCGCGGTGTAACTCAAACAACGCACACACACAGGTACTAATACACAAGAATACATTTATTAATACATAAAATATGCATA